CAAGCAATCTAATTAAGTGAGATGCCGATATAAGAAGTGTTATAGTCGAGATATATATGTATACGTAGCTTCACAAGATTTAAGCAAATCATCGAATAGTGGCTTAGGTACCAGAATACTGCACTCAAAATATGCCTTCAAGTCGTATCCGTATATAATAGTTATGTGATAGGAAAGCCTAGGTATATGAAACACCACTTTATTGATCGCCAGTATAAGAGTAACTGCACTCCGGTAGTTGAATTCTCCAATCATGCCTCATTTGGTACCGGGGAGGGAGTTTCTCCGGGATTTCGTAAGCTTTGATATAGTGCTTTAACATCTATAAGATCATTGATAGTGTGTATCATTCATCTGAGTGAATATCAAGAGTTGGGCTTAGAACACTAATATTCGATATCACTTATCAAATCTTTCGGTATTTATTACTTATAAACAAACATAGTACATGTATATATTTAATGACCTGGACAAGAATATTAGTACATACGTTCGCTGGCCATGGAATTAACCCTAATTAATTATTTCAAAATATAATTACACATGTATTGATGAAACCATAATAAAAGGTGTAGCGAGATCCTTGAATTATGGGATTCACATGAAACGCCATAACGCCATCTAGATACACTGTCTCGCATCTGATCACATGTGTAATATCGCCCCTGGCGAGGTGTCGGAACGCCATTGGACGTGAATGAATCAGGTTGCAAAAAAAATCTCAGCCTCGCACCTAAGACAGCAGATGCCATCCTATGCGCTGTTGCAGTCTCCCATCTTAATGACGTTTTAGCCTCGTAACGTCATAGTCAAAAGGTGCCCCTTGCCGTCTCTTGTGTTTCCTTTTCCGGTAGTTTAATCATTTCCAGGAGCGCTTCGGCTGCGGTGTTCACCAATATGGAGAGATCAAAGAACGATGAATGTTCGAAAAGAGACCAAAATACTTCCCCGGTACTTCCAGGCTGGTCTCTGTGCACATGTGGTCCCACTCCCTACTCATTGGAGGACATGCACTTGTAGGGGTGAACCGCTTGCGCTATATAAATGCCTGCAGAACTCCGCCGCACGGAGAAATTCTAGGTTGAACGGAGACAAGCCGTATTACTGCATAGTACTTTGTTCTCGCGGGGTCCAATTCGTTGCATCTGTGCCTTTAAGTAAATATATGTATGACAGAAACGTACAATTAAATTTCATGACTGCTTGCGTTGTACGTTGTGCCTGTGTAAACGGGGGTTAGGATGTTTATTCTAACTTTTATTTAAAGGCTATAATAACGTACGCGTACCTTAACTTCTGTTTGCATATTTCGATCTAGTTTCAGGCTATTTTTTCAGGCTAGGCCGAACGTCGACCGTCTCTTCATTCCTATATAAGTTTATATTCAAAGGTACGTGTAGACAGGCTCCAGCGGGAACCACTCGATCGTGGCGATACAAGTGACATGACTCCGACGTTTCGAAATTCCGTTATAACCTAGCCTGCCCTGAACGAGTTCTGACTACAAGTACTAAAGCAGACACGAATCGGCGTTAGCAATAGAAACTCAGACTGAGAGGCTTGGATAACCTTGCAATTGGTATAGAAAAGATGCACCCACTGATATTAGATTTCTTCTTCGAATATCCTAGAAAGTATACCCGCAGGTGATATGGTAACGTACATGTCCGGGTCGGGAATTATTCGTTTCATCAATCAAAATGCTTTATCAAAATGGTATCGTAGTATAAATTGGTGTTGTTTCATCCGCTAGCATCAAGAGAGAGCTTTCAAGAATGCTTTATACATCTAGGGATTAGAACTCTCACATCTTGCCATCGTTTATGACCTCTTCTGTAGCTCCAAAACCATTCCTCGGATGAAGCGACTGAGAAGATAATTTTCCAGATCATAATAACACCCCTTGTACCCTTTTTCGCTTTGAATACCAAATTGCAAAACCACCCTACTCGATATGGCTCGTCTCGTCGTCTAAAAGCATCAGAGCTAGAGATCGCATTGAATAGCATCAATACAGCCCGACTCAGCGTGTCCCGGCACCCGTTTTCCCCGAGGATAAGCTTGAGATATCCGTGGTGAAGGCCCTAGCTAGCTGTGAGTACTTCCACTTCTGCAGTATATTAGGGGTATTGTTGATAAAGACGGCATATACTAGTCTAGTCAGCCTGATCTACTTTATATTGACCATAAAATCCATGGGTAGAATTATGAAACCGCTATCCTGAGAGGTACGACGACTAAATAACATAGCTTCCATATTCGAATTTATCTCCAAAGCTAGATAGACTCTTGTCGACAACATTGCGACCTCTATTGTTGCTGCTGCGGTTAGTGATTGTATTGCATTCATCATTGACTCTCGAATCTCAGGCCTTGGACTACCCAGGTAATGTTTGACCCCCTTCCTTTAGCTGTACCGAACTCCCCCTGTAAATGCTGCGATAAGTAATACAGCAGCTTTGAACCCCACCTCACTATAGCTAGTCCTAGGCCAAAACTGGGTCGTCGCACACCCATCTGATTCTAGCTGTCCAAATCCCATAGCATCGATGACTCTTATCACCACCAGTACTGCAGTGCCCACGCAGGATTCTTCAGAACCAAAAGCCCTGTCGCAGGTGATATGTACCTTTCTCGTAACTTCTCTATATATCTCGTGTGACAGTCGACATCCCATCATACGTATGTACCGGTACTCAAACGAAACACTCAAGAGGGGTAGCAGAGTAGAACTGCAAAACCATAGCGGTGTCGTTTAAAATGGTGTGGAGAGGTATAGTAGTGGGTAGATTAGAGTCAAAGGAACAGAGAAGAGAAAACAGAGCTCGTATCTCATCTACACCGTACCGTGCATTGGCCAGCACGACTCATTCGACTCTCACCTGAGAGGAAACGCCCAACCGAAAATTCAAAAAAAAAGTTTAAATCAAAAGTGATCCTCACGGCACTCATCAGACTAAAGTATCTCGTCTTTCTCCCCATATTCCTCATCAATATTGGTACCCCTCCGGCGGAAAGTTGGCTTTCACTAACATATGACGTACCCCACGCATATCGAATATCACCCTGTCTTCACAAACCGGTTCTACCATAAGATCCCACGAGCTCGATTAATCGGTGGATGTGTGAAATGTCCATCTGCCGCAGAGATCTACAGGTTACGCTGGATGCGCTGTTCTGTTTCTAACCTTTGCTTTTAGTAATAGAGCAGGAAGGGTAAAGACGCTCAGGCACGGACTGAAAGGGATATCCTGGACTATCGGTCATGAGTTCCTACTATGTACCGACTCTAAGGATTTGACTCAGATAAATGGATCCCGTGGTCCCTTATTCAAGCGACATTAACTAAGCGGGGCTACATTCCAAATAAATCCACGGTGAGGCAGCCTAGGAACTTCATGATGATTCCCTAGCTTCCAAAACAATAGACACACAAAGCAAGTTCTAATTTTTCTATATAACTATAATATCAGTAAGAAAGAAATCAAAATGATTCACCTGCCAACTTTGAGATTTAAGAAGAGGCAGATTTATGAGTAGAGTACCTGTCTACATGATACCGAGATCTACTGTTTCTCTAGCGATAAACATCACATCACTGTCACTACTGTCAAACGGGATCCAAGAATTCAAACAAGGCTGGGTAAGAACGTCAGCAAACATCTGCTACGTGTCAAAAAATGATAATAAGCTTTTGGGTAGAGATGTTCCTTGTATGGCTTGTGGATTTACAGGGGTGCGTGGGAGCGGTATATATTTCGTCACAGTGAAATTCCTGGTGGGAAGGCTTGGCAGCGGTAAAGTAGAAACTCAAATGAATTAAGACCGTGAAGAGGAAATTCTTGAAAACAGAAAAACTAGAGCTTCGGAGCTATGATACATCTAGCAGCTGCTCTACTCGAGTCTAGAGTATTCTGTCAATTTGTTTTGGGTTAGGTTCATCCAGGGATCAAGGGGTCCCGGGAGGGGAAAGAAAACAGATTTGGCGGGGGATTATGCTATCCTTCCATCGTGACGACATAAATGATGTTACGTTCGTCCACCTTGTCCAGACTAGTTCGAAGAACCAAGGCGGGTAGACACAAGAGGTTACGCGTTCTTATTGGAGTATTTGACAGCGCGCTAGTCCTCTTCCAAGGAAAATAACAAAACAACAACCCAAATAAACCACAAACCCATGCAAAATTGCATCAGTTCTACTGCAACCCTACTTTACGACCTACCCCACTACCCACCACCACCTAAGAAAAGAATTATTATTACTTCCCTTCATGCAGGTTTCAGCTATCAAGGAAATAATCCGCCGACATCATCATCATCATGCCTCCAAGAAATTCAAAGAGCACAGAGAAAAAAAATATCTCAGCCGGGAAACGGAACAGACATATAAGTGCCCTACCCTTTGATGTTGATGGGCTTTTACTTTTCTCTATCATCCATCACACGTTAACGCTTCTGTCTACTTTGTCTCTTTTGAGAATTTCAATAATTCTCCTCTCCGCTGCCAACACTTGCTCTACCACACTAATAGAAATCCTCTCGATGTGAGTAAACACTTATCCGCCTGGATGAATCTTGGGTGGTTTCTACTGCCTATTAGCTAGATCATTCCACTAGTCCCACTTATTATTCATACTACTTATTATTCCCATCACATTACCTACATATCTGCACACATACATACATAATCCGCACCTATCTATTCCCTGCCTGCTCCTACATGCTTTAAATCCGTCCTGCTACTTATACCCCACTGTCCACCACCCACTCATAAACCCACAACCCCTCAACAGTCTATTTCCAAACCCCAAAAATCCCCACCTCTCACCCCATAAAAGAAAGTTTGAAACTAATCAACAAGACCAGAACCTCTCCTGCTCCACTGCGTGATATATATCATTCGTCAGTACAGTAATACTGATAGTGCCGACAAGACCATAAAACCCCTATCTCTTCCACTCGTGTTTTCGAATAAACACAGAACTTAACAAACGACAACAATGGCAAGGTACTCTTCACCCCTCACTTCTCCTCTTACTTCTTCCACCTATAGTTCTCCTCAATCCCTTTATTACAACGACCGAGAAAGAGATCGAGTTCGCGAGAAGAAATACAATAGTAGCGGAGGCTATGACAACCAGTTACAAAGATACTCACCATTTGTTGATAATAGTTTAACTTCGATCGCACCTGGATATGGATTTGGAAGCCCCCATACCAACCAAGGAGCTATGATTCGTGGTGGTGGAGGTCAATCAGTCATTGAGGAGCCAGTGGTGGAGCATGAACACCACCATGTGCACCATCACATCGACCATGGTAGGCCTTTTGTTGTTTCTCGAGTCCTAGATTGCTGTGCTAACCGGACGGAAAACTATCAGGCAATGTGAATGTAGCCGCCCAGGTAGCAGTGCGCCCCCGAGCTGTCCAACGTGAATACTCCTACGACGACCTATATGACCGTGACCGTCGTTATGGATCTGGCACCTCTCTTGGTTCCCTTAGTAGACATGAGCAACATCGTCACGGACACGGCCACGGCCACCACGGCCACCGATCTAACGGATCCCGGGGCAGTATCAACTCACGTTTTGCCCGCAGTGACATTGACCTCAACCTCGACTCGTCCTTCCGAACAAGCCGCAGAGGAAGTGTCTACGATGAACGTGAATCTGAATACGCCATTATCGATGTGCCGGCCGGAACCAGAAGAGTAACCGTAGACATGGCGAGGGAAAGGGAACAGGAAGCTCCCAGCTGGAGACGTGATAATGGAGTGAGACGTTCAAGAGGACTCGGAAACGAGCTGTGGACTGAGATCACGAAGGATTTGGTGACGAGGGAGGCAATCGAGGATTGCGGGTACCAGTATGAGGAGACAGAATTCTTCTACTACATCTTCGAGTACTTGCACCGTGATCAGATTGCGGAACTGACAGATCTCACTACCGATATCAGACGACGTAAGTTATTCACTACAGGGAGCAAGAAGCCGATTTTCGTATTTCATCGTCCTAAGAATGATATGGCTGATTCGACGTCTGCACGTATAGAGAGGGTTAGGGATATCGAATATGAATCGATCGCCGGCCGGGAACGCGACAGGGAACGCGAGAGGAGGACTCTCGACTGGGATCGCGAGGACTCCCGCACTGAAATTATTATCGAGAGTGGTAGGAGCAATGCGGGTGGGTCCGGTGGGCGCCGCCGCCGGTACTACTATTAATCGACTCATTGCTTGGATAGAGAATAGGAAGTATTGTAACGATGTGACGACTACTTAGACTTTTTCGGAGTTGAATCCGAGGGTTTTTCTTTCTTTCTTTTCCGTTATTTCCTGTTCGATTCTTTCATGAGGTTGAATTTTTATGTTGAGCGATATATTTTCTTGTGATGGAAAATTTTCGGTGGGGTGTGGGGTGCATCATCAGCATGTTTTCAGATGTTTCTTGACTGCTATTATTACGAGTTTTTTTTTTTTTTTTTTTCCTGTATCTTTTTTTTCTTTCTCTTTCTTTGGGAGCGTATGTGCGACTAATATCAAACAAACCACTGTACTAAACTAAATTCCGAATATTTGAACTCATTCATTCATGTACCTACATACAAAGAAAGATTGGGCGTTAGGAGGGAGATAACTGTGTCTATTAAATTCGATATATGACTAGACGAGCAAATTGTTTATTGACATCAGGACTAGGAGGTGGGGTTGTAGAGGATTTCATATGAGGGTGACAGCAAGTTTGATTCAAAACATCGTTGTCTTTCGTGGATCAGGTGTGTGTGTCTGAGCCGACATGAGTTTACAGTCAGCACCCTAGAGTAGAGTATGCGGAGGTGGTGCTGGTAGTGGTGGTGAGTGAGCTGTCCCTATCGATAAGCAAACCCTGTTCGTATCGGGGGACGCACACCAGCGTCATGATCGGCACGGGCCTTGTCGGTTTCTTTTCTTTTCTGGGAGGTTGCATTTATAGGATCCCTGGAGCCAAGACGTTAGGGTTACATCACGATCATTGGTTCCTAACCATGTGTGTAACTGTGTAACCAGCAACAACGCGTGTTGAGCTCCTAATTGGACAGGGCAACCTAACATTTGCGTCATAATGCAAACAAACACCAAGGCTCACATCTTCATCTTCACCAACCCTCACTCACCCCCTCGACACTACATGTACCTGTAGCTAACATCTGGGTATCCTCAAATCTACACACCCTTCTGTACCCACCATCATGCCTATCTCGCTGTACCTTATCACCTACAACTGCGCCCGACTCCTTCATCCTCCATCATCTCTTTCCCCCCACCTCTTCTCCGCGCTAAGTCCCCTCTCCTCCGAGCCTCCGTCTTTAGTAGTCATCTCTCTCCAAGAGATAGCCCCTCTCGCTGCCTCATTTCTCGGAGGATCACAGTTGACATCCTACTATGCAACATTTACATCAGCTGTCCGCACTGCCACCAGGTCAGCGTTCAATGAGGACTATGCCCTTATCGCCTATAACAACGTCGGCCTAACAGCCATAATGGTATTCGCACGTAAACCAACTCTCATAAAGTCAGTAACCTATGCAGCCGTCGGCCTCGGTTTCCTGTCGATGGGGAATAAAGGCGCCGTTGGTGTTCGCCTAACCCATAATCTCCCATCGGACCCCAGTAAAACTGTGACCCTCACGTTCGTCTCCGCTCATCTAGCACCTCACGAACACAACATCAGCGCGCGAAATGCGAACTGGGAATCTCTCGTTAAGAATCTGGTTTTTGCAGACCCAGCTGGCGACGAACAGAGTGTCTACTCTCCATCCTCATACCTTTTTCTCCTCGGTGACCTCAACTACCGCACATCTTCATCCCGGCCGGGAGAGCTTGACTATCTCGTGTACCCGCAGCCCCAGGACAGGATCAATGACAACACGCACTATCTACAGTTGTTCCTGCAGGATCAATTGAGCATCGAGCGAATGGCTGGGAGGGCTTTCCAGGGACTTGAGGAGGAGAAGATTACTTTCCCACCCACATACAAGTACATAATTTCGAGGCAAGAAAACGAAGGAGAGTACTGGGGATGGAGTAAGAACCGCTGGCCTAGTTGGACGGACCGGATCTTATATCTGCCAGCCGACGGGGTGGTGGTGCGTAATTATACGTCGATCCCGCAGATTCGGGGGTCAGATCATCAGGTCGTCGCTATGCATGCGGAGGTTCCTGAAGCACCGGTTGAGGTGGAACTGGTGGCCCCATGGGGCATTCAAGAGGGGTGGAGGGGCAGAAGGGCTACAGCTAGGAAATTGGAAGTGATTGTGGGAGTTTTAGCGTGGCTACTGGGAGGAACTGGGCGGGGTGTGTTGTTTGCCTTGTTGGTGGGTGCAGCTGGCGGATGGTGGGTAGTGAGGGCGTGGGTCCAAGGATATAGGAGGTTAGAGTAGGTACATGTAGTAGGTCTGTTTAGATTTGGTTATTAATGATACGAGAAGCCATGCTGTCTTCCTAATCTAGATAATGTACTCGGGTTGGTATTAACTTCTCGCATTTGACGCGATCAATTAGTTACGGCACTGACAGAGCCAATGATTTCTTGGTAGGCTTTTACCCCGTACCTCGGGAAAGCAAGAACCCCGGAGTAAGAGGCTCTGAGAAATACTGTACTTTAATAATTCGAAGGAAATTTTTATGAAGGAGAGGTATGAAGCTAGTAACACTCACGCTCTAAGGGCGGCGTGTTCAGCTATGGAAGGTCGGGGGTAATGGGTTAGGGTTATTGGCTACCCAAGGCGACCATATATGGTAAGGAAGCCAAGACAGAGGCTTTAAGCACTCGTGAAATGGCGGCAGAGCGTTAGGGAGCTTGCTGGTCATGTACGTTTCTTACATGTAGTTCGCGGGCTTTGGGTGTGTTTAATTGGCTCTGATATGGAAAGACTAAGTAGGGACTTCGTAGAGTAATATAATATCCAGCTTAAGATATCCGTGATATTGTCTCATTTCCCCATCTATGTATGTGGTGGCGCCGTCGTTCAACATGCGTATCACACATGATTTCCTCTGCTACTCACCCCACTGTAAATTATAAATGGTATGCCGTAAAATCGAATTGAACCAGAATAAGGATGTTCCCCTAATTCGCATTAGTCAAATTGGCATTGAGCCTCAATTGCCCCAGATATAGACCCAGGACATAAATTTCAGGCATCTCTAGATCTACCAGTGGGAGTTACGTACAGCTCTCCGGTCCAGATCAATTCGATATTACGGTATAGGGAAGTGTGGTCACGAAATCCGACTCTCCTTTACCGCCTCAAACGTTCTACAGCTATCCAGCCACATTACTACTGTGTTAACCTCAGGTTAGAATAAGTGCTGGAATGAATGAAACTAAGATTTTAAACGGACCCTGCCTATCTGCCACATGGCGATGTGCTTCTGTACCGGTACATTGTACTTACCTAAGTAATATCAAGTGAAGTATTTGTTTCACAGAAAATCCGATTAAGGGATGTTACACGATACATATTTCTTTAACTTACTTATGATATGGCCTTGTTTATCTCCCGTATTGTGACTTTCGGTGCGACGTACTAACCGCATGCATACGACATGGTGATTGGCTTCCAAATATCTACACATGTGATGTTGATTTCGATATGGTTGGTAGTTGAGCTCTGGTTGGTACCACCCAAACCGATATTGAATTCTTCATCCCCAGCTTAATTATTTTACCAGGCATATCGAATTGAACTGGCCATGAACTGGAAAGCTGTACTCTCACTGGTCAAGGCAGTTGAGAGTTCGATTCGGGCCGGTGTAATTGAGCCTCATTTCAACACGCATTTGACCAATTGAAAGGCGAATATATATTTTCAGTCCAGATGCGTTCGTTATTCTGAGATTTTGTGCAACGTATGAGTCTGACATAACCAGTAAAGTCGTTGATGGCAATGGCGTGCTAACCCGACAAGTTGTAAATCCATCTGTAAATTGGTTCAGGAATAAGCCAGGTAGCGCACAGCCAGCACAAATTTCAATCTATTGTGGCCAGGCCCAACTGAAATTGGGACAAAAACCTCTTCCAACCTCCCACCAATATATACGTCCTCATTTCTCTTCTCGTCCACCAAGTATATACGTAGGTAAACGGTATGTCTGGGCCAAAGAGAATTGGTAGTGTCAGTGTCAAACGTATCCGTATTTCTATTACCAGCGAGAGTTCTTCACAAGCCAGCCTTTCAAACCTCAGTCCACTGCAAACAGTTCTCCTCTTGTTGCAATGTACCCTCATTCCATCTGGTGCCTGACCCCCTCCACACTCACGCAGTCCTGCACCCAAGGTCAATTATTCTAGAAAGTCGGGTTTGCCAGACAAATCGTTTCTTTTTGAGTGTTTGAACTCTCGTGTTCCACGCGAGAGTTAATAACCGCGTGTAATCAAACCACATCTTACTGGCTTGTGCTTAAATGGCACGTGGCACAGTTGACAATCAGTCAGGGTTAGGATTTGTTACTAGATGATTTCAGATAACTTACATAGGCTTCATGATAGAGTAGTCTTTCATTGCTTCCCGAACCTCGAGCTATCAATTCAACTGGTTAAAACTCGCGAGAAAACCAAATGCGACTTTCCGTAGTGAAACGATAGCTGCCTTGATGCATATGCATGCGCGATGCCTCCCGGATTCTTCCATTACCATCACTTTTCGTTAGTGACTGACGAATTGGATCGATCCCTCGGAAAATAAAATGGCCGCATATAACCTTGTCTCGGGATTCGGGATGATCTGCTGTGCCCATTGTTTCTAAGTTAATTGTCACGGTCAGTTCTGTGGCATGTGAGTATGTATGGTAATTGGTCTGCATAAGCCATTGGAGTTAAGGATCGAGGTTGGGGGAAATGCGGGGAAGGTCTTAGATGAAAGACCTGGGAGTCCTGAATAAAGGTTTAGGTCGAGCTGCGAGTTAAACTTGCAAACACACACAGTATTTACAGTAGGTACTGTTTCTTACCAACGAGACTTATCTCCTAGCGCCACGGTTGTTTCTGATTCGCGGTGATTTTACAGGGATTCTGGTATCAGATTCATCATATCTGAGCGCCATCCAGAAAGACGTCACGAGAACTCTAATATTATCGTGGGACAAAGCTTACTCCAAGTTTAACCACCTTATTGCTCTTTTCAGCTTGCCAATTGTTTATCATCAATCCCTTTACACCATCTCAATCACAGTTACAAAGTAGGATCAATACTTAGTAATTAATAGATACTTCATGAAAGTACTCATGATTGGCCTTGGTGAATAAAACACAAAATTCTCTCCGGATGAGAGCTGTGTATACGTAAGGCACAAGTGATATTTGTAAACCTTGTACACCCCTCGTCATATTCGTCCGATCGTGGCTTGTGGAGAGCAGTTACGCAGTCTTACATACATTCGTCCCTTCGATATATATTCTCAGCCTTGTTTTTAGCTCAGGACAGCTAGATAAGTTTCCCCCCGTTCCATCCTGCCCCTCTCTCTGGCTTCCTAGATTAATATTTTGAAGGTATGCCTAAGTAATAAATAGCTATATTCCATACGTTCTCTCAAGTCTACCAGCTAGACTATATTAGAGTCACTCTGCTCCTATCTCCTATCCTTTCTGTCAATTTTACATATAAATATTTCAATTTGTCTCATTTTTTTCTCATTTTGCAACGGCAACATGGCCAGTAACTACGGCTTCTACGAATCTCGTGGCGAATATGGTCGAGATAATCATAGCCACAGATACAGGAACCCTGGAAATCCACCGGATGATCAGGAAAGAAACAGAAACGGAGGGCATCCATATTCCGGGCCACCGCCGGTTAACTCCTCCTCTGACAATTATCCTTTTTTCCTAGCAGGTGATGGAATTGCCCGTGAAGTAATACAGACGGATATCCCTCGATACCTTGGGAATAATGCAGTATGCAAGCCAGGAAATAAACAAGTATGTCGTGAATCCTTCTCCCGGTTGATACCCCCATCGGTAGCTAATCAATTATGCACATCTAGGGACAATCTGGGTTCTGGTATAAGGGCTATCGGCCGTTGACTGATGTATTAAACCTTTGCGTTTTAACGATCAGATCTTGGTAAATACAGAAGCATGCTTGCTAATAATTCTCCAGGCTCAAATCCAGTCTTTAAGGGAAGACTCTTTAAAGTATACGAAAGAAAAGCAACAGCATTCTATTCAATATGGACGTGACGGTCCCGGTATGGAAATAATTCTTTCCACGATCCTAATTAGATAAATTGCATGCTAATACAACCTTTGAAATATAGATTACCTAGATTCGTTTACGTTTGACCATAGCCATCGAAACAACCCAGATGGCTATAATCCACTTGGTACGACCTCTCTGAGACCTGCTGAAGGATATGTTCATCCGATCTCCATACCAGCATCTTTACAAGCGCTAGAGCCACAAAGAGATCCACGCTATCGCTATGTGGCTGATGGAAGACCATGGTACGACAATTTGGAAAGAAAATATGTTAAACCTTTCCGGGATCCTGGTACCATCTCTCCGGAACCTATCCCTCCAGTGCACATTCCACCAATGGCCCCTCCACCAACGGCCCAAAGCAATTATGGAAATCCAAACCATGCAGAAGCTGGCAATGTTCTGCCATCAGAGAATTCGAATCGCCCTCCCACCCCGCGTGATAGTTCTGGCGCACCTCTACCTGGTCGTTTCGTACGACAAAACGATGGCAGATGGTATTACGAATTCCACCAGGACATACCAAGGACACCACACCGATAAGGTCTCCCCGATGCCTATTTATTTCTTTTGTTTCTACTTCTTCTTCCCTGGAACTCGGATTAATATTCTGCCGGACTTTATATTCCATGGTTTCCCGTGACAGATTGTTTCCCTCTTATTTTCATGGACAGGATCCATTGGAGGCTAGGATCCACTGCTGGCTACTGTTGCTCTGAGTCCCTGGCGCCTCTATTTTACCAATTTGCCACACACACAGAGTAAATCCAAGAGTTCCATACTCTACTTTAGGTTTTCGAGTCTGAAAATACGTTTCACGTTGTCCACAACATTACGGGCCGCTTGCAAGTACCAAAATGCAGGAGAAACATTTCCACACTCCTTACAGTCACTGGATTCATACCACATAAATAATCACCAGATCTAGCCCACAGGACCACATTAGTTATCAGGATGTTTAGACCTTTAGGTCTTTCTACTTTGTATTGACATTTTTCTTTGCGGCCAGGGGTGATTTATGAGTTAAGGACCTTGATAATGCCAAGAAAGGGTGTCCAGCGTGAATAAAGAACTGCCATTTCTTTTTTTGAGGCTTCCAGGTTTTCAAAGTTTCTGTTTTCTCTCTGTTACAACAATCTCAGCTCAATATCTTTCCTATTTCTGGACCTTTCTTCAACCCTCACGAAATACAACAAGGGACAGGGCTCTCTCATTTTAATCATTCACTTCGAATTATCACATACTAAATTTACTGGAGGATTATGGAGGTATTATTGTATAACGTAGTATGGGCTATTTGTAAAGCTTGTTTCAATGCCTGGTGAAGCTTCTTCCAGTGACAATATGGTCCTTACTCTATTTTCTTTTCTTTATTCCCTTCGTTATTGCCGTTGTTGGTATCATCTGTTTCTTGCGAGTGATTTGTTCATGCCAAATTTATAGTTGCACTTAAGTTGTTTATATTAGTTACCAGCGCGAAGATTATCTCGTTTCTTCCTATGTTCCTTCTCGAGCTCACATTGGCTTTATATACGTATATGGTCAAGCCGGTTTCCTAAGGATTCTTTACGGGTACCGGCGCATAATTATTCTGTCCCTCTGGCCCTATGGAAACTTTCACACGCAATAGGCACCTAGCTATTCCCGTTTTCCAAACAACCAGGAGGCATCATTCCATATTGGAGCTTCAGAGAGATGGAGGGAGCCCATCCGTGTGAACGGAATTCTATTTGATATGCGTAGATTCTGCGCTACGTACTCGTAGAGTGACTCTATTCATGCCTCCACGAGACGTGGCTTGGAGACTTACTACTTATCTTACAAGATTGTAGACACGGCTACGGCAGCAAATTTCTGCGTTTCGGGGTGAAAGATAAACTGCAGGAGTTTGTCTCTCATGTGTTCTGTGGTCTCCGTAGTACATACATGAGCTCTCTATTCGTTGGAAAATAAATTCCAAGCAGTAGGCAGCATGTTCCGCCATGAACTAGGACTATAGACAGCAAATCAGTTATAATTAGCCAGTCAGTCAAAACCAAAAGATCCCAAAAGTCCTCATAATGAGTTCTCCTAACACAACTTCCACAAGCTTAGGTGTACCCGCTATCACCACAACCCCGATATATATGTCACGTCACACCAGCGTCCTCTTACTATGAACGTCCCGCTGACCACCAAATCAAGCACCAGGCGCAGCAGCCTCATTCGCCGTGTACACATATAGACATATGTACACTCTGGATCCAGGCCGCAAACACTTACTCAGTCGTGTAATATGTACTCATACTGTAAACATGCCAGACGTACGCCGTGGGGAAAAAAGGCTGTAGGGAAAGGAGGCTACACGCATGTGTATGTATGTACATGCTGTGCTGTTGAGCACGTTAGCTAATTAGAGTAGTGCAATTTGTGTACCCGGGCCAATGGCTGCACGCGCAGCTTGTCATTGGCTGCAATCCCGGTGGGACGCGCACTGTGCTTGGCCCAGGATATCGAGTGTTATGTACACTTTGGAAGTCTTTTTTTGACATAGAAGGTCGATGCCTACCTGCCTGAGCTGGTTGCTGCTAATTGTTGGTGCTGGATCGCCGCTTCAGTTGCGAATTGGGGTTGGCGTCCCAGGTTGGCGTACCTGCCGGTGTCGACAGTGCAGTGATGTGCTCAGTCGACCGCATTCCTGCTGGGGCGTACTGCCTGACGGTCAGGCTGAGCGAGACGCTAGGGTACGGTATGCCGACTTTGAGTCGATTGCGGGTTAGAGCGTGCTAGGGAGCATCAGGGCCGTGCGTGCAGCCCTGGACTTTAGAGTTCGAGTCAGTGTTGGAATCAGCTGCGGGGGGTGATGACTCGGGACGCTGGGTGCCTAGGGCGGGGCGGGGACGCCGTGGGCTGTGTTTCCTTAGTTTTTGTTTAAGGCTTGAAGGGAAAATGAGTCGTGATAGTTTGGGTTGTAGTGGAAATCGAGTGATGCTGTGTGATTGTAATTTTGGTGTTGGGTTGGCGTTGTTGTGTGCGTAGATGTGGTGGTTTGGTGGTGGCTTTATGTTAGTGGCTTTGTTTTTTTGATGGCTTTTGGGCGCGCAGTTCTTGGGGGTACTGCTAGTTTGGCGGATTTTGGAGTCTAGAGCTCGACTTCTTCATGTGCAATTGCGCAGTTGAGCTGAGAGAACGACATATATATATTTACTACCATCACGAAGAATACCTCACAGTGTTCAACAAGTCTCTAAACTACAATTCAGTGACTCTCAAACTACTCAATTACAATGTCTTAGCTCTCAATAGACAAATACTGAGAATCATCATACAATAAATGAAATAACAACAATACTGAGAATCACAAAATATCACTCGTTTCCACAACTCTACCTAAACCTGAACCAACAGTCTCCAACTCCGAGCGCAGACAAGAGAGGAGCCTAATTAATCCAAAAGGTAAGAAAGCTAATTCCGAAACAGTTAAAGGCCCTACATGCGCTAGTGTTGGTTTTTGATGCGTCATGAGGTATCAATCGTATTTGTGCGCGGAACACAAAAACCCCTAATAGAGCTCACCCGGCCGGACCTCGACACTATTTGTTCCGCTCCGGGATCTTAGGTTTTACTACTGTAGAGAATAATGTTCTCTATCTCTTCGATAGCTGGAATTACAGCATGACCGTAACACTGGTAGTGTTGGTTCCGGTGGTTTGAATCATAGAAATCGGCCCACCCGTGGGCCGGGCACGTCACTTGAGACCTCAATTGAGACATAAAGTTAAGTCTAAAGACAGCACAACACAACAAAGAGCTTCTCTGACTCTTTATTTTCCGATCCACTGGCTCCCGCCCGGGAAAGAAACATTTATCACAGAGGAGAATGCCAATCCGCACACCCGGAACACTCCCTGCGGTGCCGCAATCATCCACCGGAGGAAATGTGACAGTCTATATCATAAGGTAGGAGATTAACTAATTTACTCGATTAACAACTAATCAACTGAATTAATCATCATCAAACCAAACAAAAAAAATGTAAGTAGAGTTTAACCGAGTGATATTTCATGACAGTTCAGCGAATAGCCTTCCAAACGGACTATTTTGGTCGTTTGACTCTAGATATTTCAGCCATACTGCCTGCCCAGTACGCTCCGTTATTCAAGGGTCAATGGGCGAGTCAGAAATGATAACAAGGGACACATGTGCCCGAATGATGTCCTCGATCGTGAGAAGACATATAACCAAGTCCACGCGCGCAGTCAGCTACGAGTGTGGCCACTGTGGTTAAGTACATATAACCAACAAATACGTAGACAACAAGACTCCGAGAAGAGGACAACGCACTACTTAACTAGGTATAAATGACACACGAGGGACCACTCCTACTCCTCTTGTCACTCAACCATTTGAGCCTATTGCACTCGCTATACAGAAACCTAGACTGCTATTACTACATATATAGCCAGTAGGTTGCGGCAAGTTTTCGAGAAATGGGCCGGACCGGAGCACATTTGGAATGCTCACTATTGCTCCTGGATGGCATAAGTCTGTGACTACATGTATGTAGGTGCCAACCACATGCGCAGCGAAAGCTTGATATAGACGTCTACACCACTCACCAGGACATCCCCTTAGCTCACCCAAACACTTGAAAGAAAGGATCAACAGGATTACATTACATCACCATGAACTGTCTAGGTGAAGGGGATGTCGTAGTGAGTGGTTTGGACGTCTAGGGATAGCTCTCATGAAGATAATCTCTCTATAAGGTATCGCTTTTCAGTCCCATACTCATATCATTGGGTTTCAGCGCCGATACTCTCTCCACCTATGGGTAATGTCCACCTATGGGTAATACCCCTATAAGGGTCCAAATTCTCACCACCAGCATACCAGTATAGCGAGCTTTCGCTGCACCTGCATGTTCCCCTCAGCAAGGACTCCCAATGCATTCCGGCCACTCAATTCTTCATCACCCCGAGTGCAAGCTCTTTTCTGGTGGTCTATCCCCTCGCCACAAAAGACTATATCACCGCTGCATTAACCCTGACACGACTCACCGTGCATACGAGTAATTCAATCAATCAAGACACGACTCACCAGCTTTCCTCAAACACCAACGAGTGACCTCCCATGATCCGCGGCAGCGGCACCAGCGTCAGAGATCCGCGCCGGGCGCCGATAACCTTTTTCTCCCGTGTAGATCATCGATTTACTTTATATTTATCCGAAGGAGGATCAGGGATGTTTCATGTTTATCATCAGGGCTAGGGTTGGAAATCTCTGGGAATTCAATTCAAGATTCGCGGCTTCGGGAGAGAGAGCCTGTTCCAGAAGGCGCAGAAGAACATCAGATGGAACTCTCGGATTGGATTGGCTACATAAAATAACTTAGGCACTCTCTATTTTACCGTACCGCACCCGTCAGGATTGGCGGTAGTTGGAGAGAAGAATAGCTGGAGACAGCAGGTATGTTGTGCACAAAAGACGGACTGACTGACACCGAGGATCGCAGAGAATGGGGGCGGCAGATCAGGCTCTCAGTGGCAAAACAAGGGACGAAA